CATAAATTTACCGTCAGCGTAACATAAAAAAGCTAGTCTTCAGTCACCAAAGAAGGTACAAGGTACAAGTAAGTTGTCGAAATAGCAGGCATTTCATTCATCTTACTCAAATGACTCAAACTCAGCTTGCTTAGTCATGTTCTCAAAGTATTGGTCCGAGTATCATATTGTATCTTACATAGTTTCCCAGAAATTGAGGAAAATGTAATGACAATCCGTGTGTAACATACAGAATGTGACATATGAAATAAGCAGAATAATGTGGGAATAGCTATATACTATTCAACTGCATTCTACACACAGAGAGAGAGAGAGAGTAGGCATCTTCCTTCACGTACGTGTCATTTTTCGTAACGGAATAGTCTGGTTTTATACTGATTCATTTCCCACGTAAACATTAATGGGGTAGGGGTTGTGAAACTCCATTACAATTTACCAATCAGTTCATTGCTTCCGAGGCTCAAATATCTCTTGCGGCTCTGCTCACACTTGTCAGTCATGAATGGTTTTTGTTTTGTGAATACTGGGGAGAAATATTTGGACAAGAATACACTTTACCCTTAGAAGGGTCCGAGCAGTTTTGCTATGAAGAATATTATTTCATTTTTCACAGATTTTTCCTTAAAGATGTCTCTTTGTAGTGGTGACCATTCTACAGACGGAATGTAATTAGTGTTCGTGAATAATATTCTATCCAAGACGTTACAACTTTGTTCGAGAATGAAGCATTCGTGGTGGAATTTCAATAACTTTAAATAAAGATATCTCCAGTGAACGAAGCGAACATGTAGCCAGCTAACTGCATATGCAGTGCATTCAGGTGCGTAAAGCCCAGATCGCATCTATCACGGTCGCGACGGTAGCAGTTTTACTGATTCCATTCATCTGTCGCAACTTCACGTATCCGTATTTGTTTAGGCGCCCTATTACATTGGATATAAGCTCAAACGCCAGGTGGATGAAGCCCAACAGTCAATCAAGTGGGCTACCTTTCAATCATCAACCAGACGAGGATTATTTATCTGTGCACTGCCTCTCTACTCTCATTGCGAATGTTCCTTGATTTTTTCTGTCTGAATTTTATATTTCAAGTTTACTAACTTCTGACTGGTAGTCAGATTGTGAAAGTTTCCAACTGAGTCATAGCCCCGAAGACTAATGCTGAGATAAGCGAGCTGCGATGCCCTCAACAAGCCCCGAAAAATAGACTGTACTATATAGTGTACCTGGAAAATGAAAAACGATTTAGTCAGGTTTAGTCAGTGGCCTGGTGACTGAGTGGGTAGCGCGCCTGCGTTTTTTTCTGTGAGGTCCCGGGTTCGATCCCCAGTTGGGTTAGAACTGCGGATTAGACTCATCCAGGTTGAAAGCGCGGTACAGTGCTTTTTAGTTCACACTTCATTCGCTCTATACATGACGAATTCCTTCTATTAAATCTGATCTTCGATTACTCGAAATCCTGTCCAACGTCATCTACTCGGAACAAAATGGTCCAACCCACGTGGGAAAATTCAATTGGCCGATTTTACGGGTGCTTATGCGAAACCAAAGTCAGATCAATTCCGTTAGGTAACATAATCCCATAATGGCAGATTCAACCAGAGAGACCGATACCATTGTTCGATTACCGACTAATGCGGTGAAGGACAGAAGAAATACTTTCAATCCTACTGGCATTTTCTGTACAACCCTGGCAGGTTTGACATCAATAATGAAAAGGTGTATGCAGCTTTTTACGAAAACAATGAATTTGAATATCAGTAGATGGGCAAAAATATGCTTCGGTAAAATATGTTGGTCGTATGGTTCGAATGAGACAATACGGTTTGCAACAAACCAATGACACACGTGTACAAAACAATTCACCGGAATTCAATCCTAGGACGAAGATTGATTAACACGGGTTTAAAGTATCCTAGTCCGAAGGTGAAACCGGCGCAAACGAGCCAGCAAATAAAGCCACCACTTTAAATCACCCCCCGGAAGATGCACAGTCACCCACTTCTATCTGGTAACCAGTTTCTTTTAAGGATAACGCCACTTTTGTGCGAATCCCGGAGGTTGCCGTACTAGATACCTTTTGTAAATAACTGTTCTACGGGGTGGTACACAAGTTATTGACAAACAAGCCATTCACTGTATTCAGTTATGATTTTGAAATGAATAAAATTTGCTTTTTAAACGATCGCTCATTAATCGAACTATTTATGGCCGGAAATTTAGTACATTTATTATCATGTTTCCGTGACCAGAGTTCCATGCAGAGTGATTCTAAGAGGACCAATGGCAGTGTGCGTGTATCTGTACATAGGGCAATTGCTTCCCCGCGATTTGAATCTATGCTGTGCGTTCTGCAAAACTGTGGGAGGCGTTCACATGCTGTGGTTTCAATCCAACCATCAATACCGATCCTTTCACAACCTATAAATGCGACTATTCTCGTTACCATTTCTGTCAAACGACACTATTGCCCAGGATAATGCATATGTTATATGTCGCATGAAAGATATGACTTTTTGTCGTCATATGAGGTATATGAATTAAGTGTCGGGAAACCTATAAAAAATAAGCTACCTAGAATGGGCCAGATTGAAAGACTAAGGGACACTTGACTGTGTTTGTGACGATAACCGCATCATCATCATCAAAGGAAAACAAATATGGCTGCATTCAGAGCAAAAACGGAGACGCATTCAATGAGTATAACAATACGCTGTTGAACCCACTATCAAACAGAACTCAGAATATCCTGAAAACTGAAGAGAGTGGACAAACGGTTGCTACTGTTATCCCGTACACTCTGTTAGGAGTAAATTATTTCTTATAATGCGTTTATGTCGCATAAGGCTGATACTCTGATTGCGGAAGAATAATAGTGAATGAATTAGAATTTATTGATAATTATGCGACAATAGAAAATATAAATTTCATGGGTTTTTTAAGATGAACGAAATAATAGAGGCGATCCTATCGTCCAAGAATACAGCTACGGTAGATGAACTAAAACACTTTCTATAGACCAAACTGAGTTAAACCTAGGATCGAGCAGCTGTCCAGTTATATTTAACCGAAAAACACAGAATCCTTTTCCAAACTAGATAGTTTCAGAAATTCTCTTCTCATCACAACTGCCGAGGCCAACAGAAAGACTTATGGTTAACAAAGACGAAACTTAGTCGAGCTCAACCAAAAGAATTTAAGCATAAACTGGTTTGTTGAGCTAGTATTGCTGGACCGTTTGAACACTGTCAGCACATAATAATCTGTGGATGGCGACTTACCCGTAAACTACGACGTTTGCGGACGAAACTTACCTTTGTGGGAGATGCGTTTAACATGCAGCTGATGTAGCTTGAAAAGGTCGTTTGTTTGGGGCGGCACTCCATGCAGTCCAGCTTTTGTCAATCAAAACGGCAAACTGTTTCCATATCCAAGCCTGATAGTATAAAAAATAGGATGCAGATGAACCATTCAGCCTTATTACACAAAACAATATTTATAAGAATACGGAATATTGGGGAAAAACATTGAAGGCAAATGTTTGCACCATGTAATGTACCTAGAAAGCATCATATTTATGATCCCCAAAGACCTCAGATCTGTAAAACATGAACTGTAAAAACATTTGACAAACCGGTTCGAAAAATTTGATCATCTGAAGCGTCATTTCAATTTCGATATTACCGTGCATCCCCCAGATAACTAATCAATACATAACTAATTAATGGTCACGTGTTGACCTCAGATATGTCTCCTGTTACACGTTTCACGAATCCAACCGGACTTGTTTTAGGAAAATTGTCCCACATGCCTCATTCTCATAGATCTCATTTTTTCAACAGTCGACTGATCATCACATACCAATGCTCATTCAACTTTTGACCTGAATAACAGACACCCCAGTCATGTTGGTCTGCTCGTGGCACGATCATCTTTACGAAGTTGCTATCACCAGATCGCGCGTTGTCTTCTATATCTCAACAAATTATCGAATCCCTGCCGGGTGTGATCGTTTAGCATATGCACAAAAAGCACACATCGCATACGGCTCTGTGCCATATGGATGTGAATCGGTCGGGTGTCTTTCTCAAGCATTAAACGCCCGGTGTTCCATCAGAGCACAATGCTCTGGCGTAGAGTAATTTGAAAGAAAGGATGAATGCAAGTCACGACTGAGACAAAAGAGAGCTTGTGTGTATCTGTGCTTCCCTGTGTGCGTGCGTGTAAGCCATTATGCACGTGATTCATTGGAACCGCTTCTATAGAACCTGGCATACATGATCGGAAAGGCAAACAGCTACCAAACGAGTTAGTTTGTTAGTTAGTTAGTTACTTAGCTTGCAAGCGTCAACGTGACGCATCAGTGATCGTCAGTGTGTATGACTATAAGGATGCAATTATTTACATTGTGTAACATACCCACACGAGTGCGTTTTTGTTCTCTAATCAATGTATTTCATGGTTTGTCAGTGTGTGTGTGTGTGCGTGCGTCTTTTCACCCAACATGTAACAATGCACCAAACGTATTGCTCACCAGATCTAATCAACAGCACAGATTACTGATGTGGCAACTAAGTGGCACGTGCATTGATACCCCGATGTAGGTGCGTGCCTGTGTGTTCCTATGTGTACAGATGTAATTCAACGATTGGGTGAACTCACTTGTGCCTGCTCTGGAACGCAACATGTGTAGGCAAGTTTAAGTCACGGCTACTATAGGCGTCTCAAGCCAGCCCCCACATGCTTTCACACATTCATACACACAAACTTGCATGCGCGCACACATACATCTGATCGGCACAAAACGTTGCTCAAACAATGGTGCTGCAAATCGATTGCTCCTACCTACAACTCATCAGTGGTTGGTATGCCTGAAAGTGAAATAAAGATCTTAGACATATAAATACGCCCATCGGCATTTGAACCGCACAGTCCTCCAGATCGACCGCGTTCGATTTTGTTTTACCTGTGCGTCGGAAGAAAACGTCGTCTATCCCAACATGCCGAAATCTCGCTCGAATAGAAACTCCGGAGTGCCACGTGGTTCGCAATATGTGGACGGGCAACTGATTCACATTGCCACAAATCAGAAACTGTACGCACGAACCCACGTGTGTACTGTTTTCCGGGAGACGTTGCGTGCATCCGAACAGTTCTCCAAACAAAATGCGGTTCGAATAATGGAGAAGAATTACAAAAAGCGACAGGCCCATGGGATGGCAAATATTCTGGAAGACAGATTCACTTTGGAAAAGATTAAATCAAGTGGCAAGGAACCATTCCGTTCGTGGTTGGCTTTTCGTGAAATTGCTGACATTCAACGCAGCAAATCCAAGCCCGAATATTTCGTGATGAGTGTGGATTCCGAACTGAGTCATCAAAAATACTACGAGGTGTACAAATGCAAATCGAAGGAGGATGCGTACAAATTTGAGTCGTTTGTCAAACAAGCCCTGGCAGATCCGGAATTCCGCATCCGTGACGGGCCCATTTTGGATGTGGTCCCAGTGAACGATGAACCCGGGCGAGTTCGTTCCATTGCACATTTGGAATTCCAAACAAGCCTTGAATCACTGCACGAGAATGAACGTGTGAGTACCATGTATCAAGCCACAAGTCCCACACCACCTGAAGGTTTTGATATTCCGCGATCACCATCGCCACCGCAAATGAAACTTTCACCAGTCCTGCAACGCCAACAAATGGTCATGGCTGCCCCTCCGCCGGCACCTGTGTACGAACCGTCTCCACCACCGGTGAGAAGACGTTCACCAACACCGGAATATCGACCAGTAACAGCTAAAGCAGCTCAGGATGACTTCACTTACATTGATTTTGACGCGCGCACAAGAAATCCGTATGAGAGCTCAACAGGACCGGTCTACATGTATTTGTCACGTCACATCAGCCAACCGGATCTCGGTCGACAATCGCCTCCCTATTCATCTGGCCTGTATAATGGTCGTTCTTCGGGCAACTACGCATACTGAACAGGTGGGAAACTCACACAGATACTACACAAATGCTTATGATTTCTGGGCCGTGTTCCTTTTCGAATTTTCATAACATACGCACATAGATCATATGTTCCCACTGTTGTAGAGTAGCGGATACAGCTGTTCAGATATGTTTGCCTATTTCTTTCATTCTACCATTCTACCATTGTACGCATCACGGTTTTCCTGCCCTCTACCAGAAAGAACCTATGTATCATAGAGTCTTTCTCATCACTCACGTTCACTTTTTATCATGAAGAGTGAAATAAAAAGCTGGATCAGGCTGCCCTGCTCGAAATGAAACATTTTGTATTCGCTTTTTGTATTACCACGTTCGACCTCAGTCCACTTGAATCTATCTATTTACCACCTAGGCTTATCCGACTCAAAATCGTATCGAGCAAAACCGTTTTTATTTTACCTACACCTATTAATCGCATCCACCAACTTTTCAACCCACCCACCCCCTCCATCAGCATATAATTTCTAACATTCAAATTGTTGCTTAATTTCGTTTCCTGTCGTTCCTTAAACTCACATAAAGGACGGGGACTTTCGAGCATACACGAGCATTTGTCTTTGGATTGCCCACGCATGTATAACTCTGTCGGATGCTTTGTTTCAGATCCTTCCAGCTTTTGTGTATGTATCGGGCGACTCATTTCGCCCCTTCGTTGCCCTCCCCCTCCCCTCTCCTGTCCTACGCGCATGCTCCCTATCACAATCCATTCTGNCTCAATATTGAGCTCCCGTTATCCCTCTTGTGTGCTTCATCATCTGTGTCTAAAAACATTAAAAAATTGTATGCGAACAAGCTTATTTTCGTTAGTTTGACTTCATGTAATCACACGAACATGTATGTTTCTAAACAAAATAGTTTGGAATTTCGATCGGTCGAAAAATGAGAATTCAGTATGGCTTAGTACTTAGTAAGGTGATATAAAACCAACGGTTTTAACGGATTCTGTGGGGGAGGAGGAAGCATGAGTATTGTTTTGGGTGTTCTGCGAATAGTAGTTAAACATGATTGATTGCAACTTCCGACGTCACAATTGCCTGACTAATATCACGAGCACAGGTAACTTCTATGTCAACTCAAGGAGAGGCTAAATGGAATGCATTCGGCAGTTTGATCTGTTCATGGACGGCCGAGTTCAGTGGCCTCATTACCACCACCTCCACCAATGCTCATCGGCATTGTTCTATGAGCTTCGACCTATTCAGATACACTCATGAAATAACTTTAAAATGTTCATTATCATTCTAATGCCCGACTGTCATCAAGTGGGAGGTTACGACTGGATTTGTTAGTGCTTTCTTGCATCAAAGGAAAATACTTCTTGAATACAAAATAGTCTATATTAAAGTCACTGTTTCATAGACCAGTTTCATCCAAATCCGGAGCGTATATATGAACCTTCGAATCTGAATAGAATGAAGATTATGTTTATTATTAGAAATTTAAGCAGCTTTCGGTTTCGTTTATCAGTGTAGATAAAGATTTTTCAGGAACAAGTGAAAGATCTAACGGGATCGCAATGACTTAAAGTTGCACAGAAACGCAAGAACTGATGAGTTCACATCATCTGTGTTTCGCATCTTTGCCGCTTGGACTCTATCGACCGAGGGGGGGGCCTTCTCATAAAAAAGAGGGAATGCATCATTCCGATTTTCATGTGAAACTTAAATTGTAGGCTAACTTTCATACATTTTTTAGCACGTGATTACTTTCGAATAGACCACCGGCAAATACTAACTAAGTGTTCAAATGTGTTAGAATTTCCAGTTGTTAGTTTGAACGAAACAAACGACCTCTTGTGAACTGGAGCACGTCTGACTGAATGTTTCACTTTGTCGTGGATCATGGTACGACAAAAAGGGGTGAACCACGCGCGCGTGTGATCGCCCTGCTTTGTTGTAAATAGAAAAGTGCAAATTGCTCTACCTGGACTTGAGTCTTCGACGTTAAGATGCAACACATGACTGGGATAGATAGATCACTCGTTAAGTAATCGTTGTCTGAAAGTATCACGTGAAACGAATTGCAGCAATTAATAACCTTCACATCGATCGGTAACCGCATATGTGAAAAATCACGAAGCAATATAACAACAAAAAAGATTAATTAGTTGTAATTATTGTATTCCTTTTACGTTAGGTGTTTACCTGGTTGCAACTCACAACAGTTTTACATATACCAAAGAATGACGAACACCTGGTTAAATTGGGGTTGTCTTGCATCGTTTTGTGCACTTTATCTGTTAGGGGAGAAGTGAGAAATAGCAACAAGATAACAAGTAGCGACTATTTGTAATTCCTCTGTAGTTACTGATTTGCGCTGCCTATCCGTCGGACCTCATGGTTAAGTTAAGTAAGTACAGCAAATCATATACTGGAAAAGTGCTGTAGACTCGCGTTTCGCTCCCGTCACAGTTCAGCGTATACGGGACTGTCCGAGCTTCAACCACCGGACACAGTATGAAAGGCGTGTGTGTGTTTTACCACTGTACAAGCCAGCGAAAGATGAGGCTGCTCACAACTCGCAATCCATACCTATCATATTTCGATCGCAAAGGTACTCATTTCTTTTGTTCCGGCAGGAACGAAGCAAACCACAGTATGCTATCTGGTTACTGCAATCGAAAGCCTCCCATTAAAATAGGTCTTTCTTTGTTGTTTATTTGCGGTGACTTCACAACAACCCATGATGACAGAAAATTGCGGAAAGTCAATTTATCAAAAGCGTTTCCACACGTTTCACAGTATATTCCATGATATTGCGTAATTGTCTCGACGAGAAGTAATGATACTCTCCAAATACGTTTTTCTCCCTCTCTATTGTACAAAGCAAGTACGTCTTTCTATTAGTTGAACATTGTGTTTGTGTGCGGACCTCGAAGTCGCGTGATTCATTTAAAAGACTACCAGCTGTAGACAGTGCGAGAGTACTCTTGCATCGAGCTGCACGCAACACTGTTTGATACATGTGGTTGACGATGGATCATTGCATTGTTTTGTGCTCGTATTACGTCATGCGATGGTAAACAGAAGGATACGGATGGTGGTCTAAATCACAATAGTTTTTCATCCAATGTCGTCACACAAACGATAGAGTGAAGAAGAAGTCTATTTTTTTCTATCACGCTCACTACATCAGATGTTCAGGTTAATCGCTGGGAATATGGTAAATGATATCTGGTGGCAGTGTGCGCTGTGAATGCTCACATTCAGTGCGCTACACGAATGCACAGTGAGAATTTTTTCCAATGCGTTCTGCTTTATTGATGGTTCATTGTGCGCGGTTTTCCAGGTAGACTGCAACCACGTCATTCTCGTTAACCTCTTGGAGCAAAGGGAGCATATTAGTACCATTTATACCTGTTATTTGTAGCCATCANCAAATAATATTGGATCTGAGTAGAGATTCAGGTGAGAACGGAGAGCGTGTTTACCAGTTCATTTCATTATACATTGGAGATTATTCAATAAAAAAGAGAAAAAGAAATCCTACCATTCGGGTAAAAAGCTTGTCTTAGGAAGATTAGAGGGATAGACACTCATTTAAGGTAAGAAATAGTTAACCTAAAACCCAATAAGATACGGATAGTATCTTGAGTTATACGAAAGGTCGAGAAAAGTCAATCTCCCGAAGTGTAGCCATCCTGGGAGTTCTTAACTGTTACTCGGACAATACATACGTCCAAAATGTGTTCCTTGATGGACCGAATTATGTGGCTCAAATTGTGTAAAGTTCAGTGTCTTTGGTGGGATTCGAGCCCAAGCATAAATGGTGTACAAAAGTGTAGGTGACGTCCATGCGCAGGGAACGATCCAGGAATAGTTGCTGAAAGGTTGACCAGTAGGAGTCATTTTGTGTCTAGTTAGAGGAACAAAAACGGGTAACGTAACCTCCAATTTAACAGAAGGGTTATAAAAGCACATTCGTCGATGTGTCCTCACCGAAGTTAAATCAGTGTTTCAAAGCCCCACGCCCTCTCGTAACAATCAACGTAGCTACTCAGGAATCACCTAAATTTCCGAACAAAACAGGATAAATCCATAAAATTGTTGTGGTCTAACGCTACCATAGTTTTCATGTAAACACAAAGAAACCTAGCACTATTGTTAAGTATGCCTTGCAAGACCAGAAGGCAATTACATTTGGTTCAAAGGAATCAGTGTTTTTCCGATTAACATCTGCCTCCATGGCATTTACTCACTTGGCTATCGAGTGCATAGACTGAAGCTACTAATGCAGTGATTCATTCCGAAATTCAGGTCTTAACATGGTGACCCAATCGCCGATGCTTCTGAATAGGATTCGCCTCCTTACCCAACTAACTGAGGTCAATTAGCAGACGGATTGTTCAATCTCGTCTTTGACATAAGGTTCCTGAGTGGGGGGGATTGACTAGTTAGACCCCACCCCACTGACTTTTTCATCCTCGCCAGTTAACTCACTCAAGATGCACTTTTGTTTATCTATGGAGAAATCAGTTCGTTCCGCCTGGACGGGGTTTGTGTACAAACATTTCGATCGATTATTTGTGATGGCTGAAGCGTCGATCATTTTGTGGGCTTTCAATCGAACCTGATAAGGTATAGCCGAACTGTTCTCCTATTCGGAGTTACATCACCAATTTCAACTTTCCTCGGCACTTTTGTAACTGTTTCCATGCCAGCATCTCTTTTTTCTGACTCTGTACAAATTACTCTCCGTCCTCGTTCATCCATCTCCAAAGGAATTAACAAAATGTTTCCCACTTAAACCAACCGCTGGCACTCTTATCACATTCCAAACTTCATAATGTGTCTTCTACTCCACTGACTGAGAGCATACAAAATTGATGGTCAACATCAATTGTGCTCGTACTCTGGTAATTCTGTTATTCAAATGGATTTAACCTCATTGACTGCATAACCGTGTAAAATGTTGCACCTCCGTGATGCATTGGATTTCCCTAATGTGGTCCGCAGAAAACCCCTAGCATGTT